ATCTAGACACCATTTGGCATCTGAATTTATTAAAATTAACAAGCTGGAGCAAATTTTTTAAAGACACGCCCTACAAAATTTGACATTTATTCAAATAGAAAAATTTTTTTTTTTTAATAGGAAAATTTAATTTTTTTGGACAAGATGGAGTTGAATGAATAATAATTAAATAATTTAATGGAATTAATAGATTTTAAACAAATTTCTACAAAAACTAAAATTAGTTGATGCAACTAAAGAGGTGTTCCAATAAAGCAATTAATTTAAAATATGCGATTGAATAGAAATAGATTTGGAAGAAGAAAAACATAAATTTTTGGTGAATTAGGTGAATGTCATAAGGAAATTTGGTGTTCGTTTTGAGAAATTTTTGGGTAAGGAACTCGTGTTTTTGCAAATTTTTTTTTTTTGTTTTGTTCCTGCTTTACTCCCCTTGGGAGCATAGGGCTTCCACAAAACTTCTCCAACGAGCTCTGTTAGGGGCCATTCTTTTTACTTCTGCCCATGTCATGTTAGCCGTGGCGATTTCTTTCTTTATTGTTCTTTGCCACGTATTTTTTGGCCGTTAATTAGGCCTTTCAGAAACTCTTTGTGTGAAGTTCTTATCTCTTTCAGAACGGAAGTTATAATCAAGAAAACTTGGATAAGTAAAAATTTCGTAAAAATTCGTTAAAATTCCTGGAACTCGAAAACCCTTAAGATTTGGCACCCAATCCAGAACAAAATTTATCCCATTTTCGATCCTCTAAAAATCTTACTTCAAAAAAGGGTGTAGAGGTTTAGAAAGACAGACGAAGTGAAACTAATAAGAATTTTTTTCCAAAATTTTTTTGGAAACGTGCTAAAAGTAAGAAAGTAAAATTTTAAATAGCTACCGTGATGCAAAAGTAATTTGATGCTGAAAAGTCTGTGAATAAAGGATCTATGTTGATTGTTCTTTTATTGATATTGAAGTCGTAATAAGTACAAGGTTGGCTATATGCGGTTTGCATTGTGCGTTAATGAGCCACAAATAATTTTAAGGGTTTGACTCACAAATACTTTTAAGGAGTTTAATACGAATAGATCGTCTACGTAAGAAACAAATTTTAAACTATTCTAATGAATATTAGAAATAGCAAGAGTGTTGCAATGTTACTCTAATTTTCGCACATTGAAAGTTCTATTAGCAAATATGACAAATTCTCTTAGTATTTTTCAAAGTCTTTATACACTGTTCGATGGTTATAGCAAAGTATACAATTAAAATTGTTTTAAAAAATTGTATTTTTAAAAAGTAATTTTCTTATTTGTTGTAGTATCACTGTACAACATTCTCGTTTTTTAAAAACGTTATAATCGCATTCGAAAAAATAATGTTGATTTAACAACTCAGTTTTGTTATTTTTTGAAAAAGTATCTGCTCCGCACTAACAACATTTTTAAGAAGATTTTAATTTAAAACCAAAAATTATTGTGAAATTTTAAATTGAAATAAAACATTAAATTTTAAAAATTTAAGACTTGTTTAATAGCAAGTACAAAAAATTGAAAGAAATTTTCTGTTTTGAAGCGAAAAAAAAGTAAATAAGAAGGGAGTCGTTTTTATTCTTAAAATGCCCACAGGAAATATACTTGAGGTAATTTTATGAGGTTATACCATAATTTTTATATATATTAATATTTCAATTTTTCCGCCGATTCTAACCAAATCACACTTGCAAATACATTGCATTAAAATTGATTGAATAACGATTATAAAATCCACATTGTGAAGAGAAGTTTTATTAATGTACAGGTGATAAGTTTTAATAATGTACGACTACACAGGCAATGTGTCCCTTGTAGCAATTTATATTTCATTCTAAGTAAAATCCGAACCTAATTTAATTTTGCACTGTACATAATTTATTATTGTCGCCGCAAAATTTTATTAGGTTTAAAAATATGAATACAAGTATTTTGGTATATAGAAGTTTTAAAAGAAATTTCAAAGGTGGTCAAAAAGAATTCACATTTTAGTTTTGATGCCAAACAATAGGATCTTCATTTGATATCATACCCAGTATACTAAATATAGCCAGTTCAGTACAATACATGGTGTTGAAGCTACTAAAGCTACAACACATGCACTGTAAAAAAAGTAACCAAGTGGTTGCTTTTTTTACACTTTAGAAATCAAAAAATAACATATGTTCCAAATATTTTCACGTTGAAGTTGAACGACATTAGTGTGAATTGACATGAAAATTTACAATTTCTGTTGTTTTTTGTAATGTAGCACGTTTTATATACTTTTCCGTTTTCATGTCCTCACATTTTACGGCTTCAACACTTTTCGAATATTTCGTTTCTATTATTTATAATATTTGAATTGCAGGTACAAAAAAATGAGCAGAAATACGAAAATAAAATAAGGGGTTTTTCGTTTATGTACGTTGCCCTGAAAATTCTAAATTAGAACTAAAATTTCTAAGCCGCATCGTTAAACAGTATGCAAAAACTTCAGCTAAGTCTTTTTTGGTTTACGCAGTCTACAAATTCTGAAACTTCTAAATAATCAGTCGTTCGAAAGTAAAATAAATTACATTGTTTTGAAATTTAAATTTTGACAAAACATATGTACATATTTAATTGATAAGTAAAGCAACTTTTTTAGATTTGTTTTTCTTTTTAAAATGTATAATTGGATAAGGGAACTTGCACTTACTGAAATTTCCATTCAAACATGCGAAGGTGAATCTCTGTATAGGTATATACAAAAAAAAAAGCGTTTGAATGTGTTGTTAGCATGCCTTAACACTGAGAAAAATCAAATTCCAAAAGTTTTGAACTATGTAAATGTAATCTACTCCATGCCCGATAGAACAATTTTTTTACACTTCAGAATGGATAAAAACTGCTTTCAGGTAAAATAAAATGGCAAAATAGCTGAAAGAATCAAATTTTAATAATTCTTATTCTATAGGAATTAACTGCAGAATTGGAACCTTTGTGGATAAACAGAAGGTTAGGCAGAACTCGGATGCCATTACAAGTAGCTTTGTTCATTACTCTATGACTTCTAAGCAATATAGGTAATTATCGCAGAGTATCCGACAGGTTCAATGTTTCTAAGTCTACAGTGCATAAAACTGTAAAACAAGTTTGTACAATGTAAACATCCTTAAGTAAAAATATGTTTGTTAGCCAGATGTTGATGGACTATAAGGCATTGTCAAGGAATTCAACACAAAGCAAAAATTACCAAATTTCATTGGAGCGGTTGATGGTACGCATATTAAAATTAGTGTACCAAAAAATAACCCAGCTAGTTATGATAATCGCAAACAGTTTCCTTCCATATTAATGAAAGTTGGTGTTATGTCAGTTGTATATACATACATATAAAACCGTATTCATAGACTTGTTATGTATTTAAAATGAAAAAAATGTTTTTATTTAAAACTCAAGTTTTTAGGGTATATGTGTGCCTGGCAGAGCACATGATGCTCGTGTTTGGGAAAAAAGCAATATAGGACAGGTTGTGACTTCAAAAATGCAGTAAAAACGTATTTGCTACAATGTATCATATTCAAAAATGTATTATAAAAGCTCTTGACGTTGTATCATATTCAAAAATGTAAAATAAATGTAGTGGATACGTAAAATAAAAGCAGAGAGAGTAGCGAAAAAATTTAGGCTGCATTTTATATACATGTCATAAATATGTTACCAGTGTTAAATAATAAATAAACAAAAGCTAATTTTTGACAGAAAATTGTAAGCCGTCCAGTTTTTTTCTAAAATTTAGTATAATGAGCTATTTTTTTTTAAACTTTGGTAACGTTCATTATGTAAAAGCAAAAGTAATATTTTTGTGTGTGACATTACATTTTTATATTCTAATTGAAAGTTTTCAACAACTTTTGTTACATTTGGATTTGTTCTTTGAAAATGGAAGAAGCAGGGTAAGCTTTAATAATTTTCTTTACAGATAAATATTCAAATATTATTCTTCTTGTAAATTTCAGAAATAAGAAGTGGACTTTTGAACAAAAGAAGTTACTAATTTCCATAAGGTTATCTTATGAGAAAGAATTTATTTCTAAACGAAAAAAAAACAAAGCCCTGTGGAAAAAAGTCTTAGAAGACATATTAAAAATAGATCAAGAGTTTCCTTTCAATGAGGATGAGATCTATAAAAAATTTTTAAATATTATGGTTACATACAAAAGAATAAAAAGGCGGAACCATACTTCTGGAGCAGAAAGCACCTCGTGGGAGTATTTCGACCAGTTGGACGAAATTTACGGAACCCGAAGTAACATTTCTGTTCCTTCATATATTTTAGATTCAAGTTTGCAAGAATCAATAGAAAATATTCTTGAAGATACTGGTACTTCTTCATTTGAAGAAAGTACTAATTCACCTGCCGCAACCACTGCAACCAGAAGACGTCGTAATGAAATTTTGGAATTTTTGGAGAAAGAGGCTGCTGAAGATAAGAGAATGATGCAAGAATTATTAGATTTAGAAAAAGCAAAACTTCAAAAAATGGAACAACTCGAAAGAGATAAAATAGAACAACTAAAACAATTAACAGATATTTTCAAAGCGTATTTCACCAAGTAATACTACAAAAGTTAATTTTTGTATAAAATTTGATTTTGTCTTCGAATTAAAGTCAAAGTTTTGTGGTTTTTTTTTTTTTCTACATGTGATTAGAAGTTAACTGAAATGTGATTTAAATTAATGTGTTCATATAAAATAATTTAAGATTTTCATAATTAAAAAATTTGATTTGCTCAATGCATATGAAATTTTCTAACTGTAGTAATTTTTAAACTTTATTTAATACTTAAGTTAATGAAATGTTTTTTTGTTTTTAATTAAGAATAAGACTGTTTTGTTTGGGTTCATAGAGATAAGAGTTTATTCATAGATACCTGAATTAAAAATTATGAATTAAAACTAGAAAACTGTTTATACTGAGTACAAATGTATATATTAATGTGTATGTATAATAAAAAAAAATGAAAACAAAATTAAAAATGGTATTTCAATTTTAAATTTTACCAATTTTAAGCACAAATTAAATTTTTCAATCTATTTCTTTTATTTACAGCTTCTGTTTGAAAATCAAGTATACTGGATTCGGCAGTATCAATAGCATCAGCATCAGTTTCCACTTCGCACATATCATTTATGGTTACTCTTTCGTTATCAATAATAATATTGTGGAGTACAATACTTGCCATAATTATGGTCTTTGATACCTTTATATTTTGTAATTCTAGATGATTTAGCATCCTCCACTTTTTTTTTAAAATACCGAATGCCTGCTCTACAAACACGCGAGTAGAACTTAAAGCGGTATTATATTTGCTCTCACATTCGGTGAGAAATCCATTTTCCTTAAAAGGTACCATCATATACGTTTGCAACGCATATGCGCCATCACCAATTAAATGGTTGTCTAGTGGAACAACGATGGAACCTCAAAATAAATACAAAAATATAAATATATCTTTATAAACATGTTCATATTTATTTATGAATTCAGAATATTTACCATTCGTAATTGCCTCTTTTAACGGACTTGCGTTCCACATAGCCGCATCATGGCAACTGCCGGGATAACCGACAAATGCGTCTATAAATTTCATTTGGCTGTCAACTACTCCCTAGAATTTATGAAATACGTATTTTTGTAAATTAAATAAATGAAAAAAAAATTTTACCTGCACAAGGACTGAATAAAAACCCTTGCGATTATAAAAGCTTATTGGATCTTTTATAGGTTTGCTAATTCGTATATGCATACCATCAATGCATCCTATGGTGTTTGGCAAAGGACGGCAGCGACTATTTTCAAACCCTTCAATTATTTGTCTTTGTGCAGCTTCACTTCGAGGGAATTTGATAACTTTACCTTTCAGTTTGGCGATTAATCGTGTTATTTTAACAAAAATATGGTAGGCTGTTCCCTGTGCTATTCCAAACCGGTCACTAACTTCTCTGAATGTATTATTGTTTGCCAATTTCCATATGGTAACAAGCAAACAATATTTCAGCGGAAAACTTGGCCGACCGATCTGGTTTGAAACAAATGATGGCTCTAACATGTTATATACCACCTAAAAGTATTTACAAATTCAAATCTATGCTTAGTTGTTAATGTTTGAATATACACTTACTTCAAAGGTAGCTGTACTCATTCGAAAATGACTGAAAAATACGTCATCAGGATATTTTTGAATAATTTGGTCGAAATTTATTATTTTTGGAATTTTCCTTGTTAGTTTGTTTGGTTTTACAATATTACAAAGGAGAGCACATCTCTTTTTTCTTCTTTTGTTTAAAATTTTTTTAATTTCTATTAAATTGCTGTTTTGATTAAAGCTATTGTAATCCAATAAATTTAAAAAATTCATTATTCATTTATTTTTAATTTTACTCTGAAAAGATTAATTTTATAATATTATTGTTTTTAGAAAACTGTTTTTGAAAATTACTAAACGTCAAAAAGTTTATAGATCGTCAAATTCATGTTCAAAAAGGTAGTAAAAGCTTTCGTATTTTTAATACAACGCAGTGGTATTAAAAGCTTTGCGGCGGTAGTAAAACTGTATTAAAACTGTTTTAAAACTTTTTGTACTGCATTTTTGAAGTCACAGAGGCTTTTATGAAAAAAAAATTGAGCCTAAAAATGACTGGCATCTTGTTGGTGATTCCGCATATTCACTGTATGATTATCTGCTTATACCATATAAGGACTATGGCAATTTAACACCTAAGCAAAAAAATACAATTATTACTTAAGTTCAGTTCGAGTATGCATAGAGCAAGCTTATGGTATTTTAAACAACAAATTTCAATTTTAAAACATGTCGAAGTCCACGATGTTACACAAATAAAATATTATAGTGACGTGTGTCACATTTCACAATTTTATAATAATTCACGGAAAACACAATGAAATAATAACTGAACTGGATGTTGAAACTGACGAAGTAAACTTTTGTCAAGAGCCTAATGATAGTCGACAAGAAGGCAAAATCAAAAGAAATAAAGTATGTGACCAAGTGCGAGACTCAAACTTATAACAATTATAACTGTATTATTCAAGTTTGCAAAATTACAACTGTATTGCTCAAGTTTAAAAAAATATTTCAACCATAAAAAAAAACACAAACATGCAAAAAGTATATATATGCGTCAATTTCAAAAGTTCATTTTTTAGTTAATGTCGTATATGTGCGTCATGCCAAAAAAGAAAATTGCATTTGCTATGAAATTTAAAGTGAAGCAAAAAACAAAAATTTCCCTGTTAACAAAATTTCGTAAATACGGGTCTTTGCTTGAAATTGAGCTGTCTAAGAAAAACTAATCGCGTAACAGGTTAATAAAATATTATTAATAAGAAATCACATAATTTTATTTGTAATTATTATTTTTGGCTTCGCAAGACTTAACATGATATAATTTTTCCTTTTTGAAATATCACAAAATATGTGTAGGTATAGGTTACTACTTTAGGTTTGAAATACGATGTCTCTTAACTTTTACAATACTTTCAATTTTTCTTGTTCCAATCTCAGTTTTTCTTTTTATAGATTATGAAATCATTATGATGTTCTTCCTCTTTTTTGTCAAATTGTTTCAAGAAATTTTGAATATCGGTTCTTTTCTTCTTTAAGGATTTTGTTGGTGTATTTTTTTCACTATTCCAATCATTTGCAGTATCATTTACAGTGGCAGTTTCTTCATTTATGGTCTCTTACAAATTATATGTTGAAAACAAATTTTCCTCTGGTGGGGTTATTACGTGATTTGCCCCCAGAACCTCGGAAATATTCCCAACTACTACGATTTCTTCCAGTCCTTTTGTTTTTTACTCTTTTGTAAGTTAAATTATTAGTTTTCGCCTTCAAATTCACTGGAATATAAGAAAATTTTAACAAAATTTAAAGACTTAAACAAAACTTACTTTAATAATCCTTCAATATCTGAATCCTCCATTTTGAAATTAAAATTTTTTTGAAAAAAAAAAAATCTGATGTGGTCAGCACATAATCGACCGCAATGTGTATTGTCTAGTTAAGAGAAATTATTACAAAATATTATAAAAATGTCTGTTAAATACTTCTTTCGAATTTTTAGGACATTAGTAAGCTTATAGTTAACATACCTAGAAAAATGTAAATATGGCTCATAGTAGAGCTTCGCTTTGCGCTACCCTGAAATGCTCGTCAGTTAGTTTCTGTAACAACCAGAACTCAAATATCAAATTTCAAGAAATTCCATCAATTGTTTCCGTAGATATGGCGAAAAATGTAAAATCGGCCCGCAGATCAGTTTACGAGCCCCGATCTTTTCAAACAATTTATATGTACATTGTTTAAGTACGAAGAATTTAAATATATATGAAATTTCAAGTAAATCGGTTGAATATTTTCTTCAAAATGGTCAAAAATGTAGAACAGGCCCGCTAAAAACTGCAGTTCCCGAGGCCTGATATGTCCCAAAAGTTGATCAATCCGTGCCATGGTCGAAATAAACTTGCATATAAAATTTCATCAAAATCGGTTCAGCCGAACTTGAGATACACCCGTGCGCACACACAGACCGACAGACCAACAGATTGCTAAAAATAGTTTATTTACACTTCCCTACTATGGAGAAGTGTATTGCCACCGAAAACTCGATATGTAAAATTTGTTACCATCACATAATTTACCTATTGTATACACAATTGTATAGGTAGGTTATGTGATTTTGTTGTGTTCTATTCTAGAACAAAGCAGTGTGGCAGAGATACAGATTTTGAAATCATTACAATTCGTATGGGCATCCCAGAATTGGCTCTACTCATTCTTTTTAAAAATTTAAAAACTTTTTAGCGAATTTTCATTTTCTTATACATATTTTCATGTAATTTAAATACTTCAGCACTTTTCAAGAATGCACTTGGACCGAATGCTACCCGCAATTTAACCATGTTTTTTCTTTCAGTGTCGGATTTCTCTTATATTTTCATTTCGAACTTTGTGATTTGTTAAACTAATTGAAAATACATCAATCAAAATTGCAAAATTAATTTTGCAAAGGTAGTAGTTCACAATAGCTCACGGCTACATAAATTTTAAAATATATATAACATACAAATGTTTTTAAAAAGCTTCTCATTTTTCTTAACGTGTTATTTATATATTGAACCTGAGTTTATAAAGAAATTAAGAACATTCTTGTAATACTCATTGCCAAGTAAATTGTTATTTTGACTTGAAAGTCTAATGAAAAAATTTAGAAAGCATAACTTTGAACCTGAACGATGCAAGTGCCAAACCACAATTGAGGTAATTTCAATTCAACTAATATTTCATCTATTCTCCCTTATTAGATTATCCTGCTTAGAAAGAAATGAATTTGGCTCTTAGTAGAATTGCTCCTTCTGTCATCTGGAGACAGTTACTTTATGAAGCAAACTGAACTCAAATATTAAATTTAAACAAATTCCGAAAATTAGTTGTCATGATTATAATTCGTGCCCCTGCTATATAGCTAAAGTAAACCTCTAAATAAATTATCATCAAAATCTGTTCAGCCCAACTCGAGCACGCATGTATGCTCACATAGACCGACAAACCGATATCTCTCTAAACATAATTTATTTATACTTCTCTATTATTTCTATCGAAAACTCGAAATCCGAAATATGGTCATTCATCATATTTTGACGATGAGGTACATTATGACGAAAAATGACGAGGTGGATATTTAAAAAACGAGTGAACCATTTTGTACTTCTTTATATATTACACAATTAATGCATTATGTGCCTATATAAAGTATATTATATTTTTTTTATATTTCTTCTTTCTTTAAAACGTAAGTGTGAGATTTCCGTTAATGTGTAAGGATAATTTTTTAATATTTTTGAATTAAAATTTCATATCAATCTTGAAGTTCAAATATCGTAATAAAATACTTAACAGGTATTAAATGTCTTCACACAGTATAAAAGTGATAGGTATACGTAAACATATATATTATGTACCTACATAAATTATAAAATTTATTTGCATATTCTCTGTATGTATGTATGTACAAATAAACCAGTGTTTATGCGCTTTAATTACATATCCCACATCAATCATTAATTTGTTGATACATTTCTGGAATTTGCAATTTAATGTAAAACCAACATTGACGTTATGTTCACTCAAGAATTTGCTTAAATCTACATTAGAAGTACATTTGCATAATTAAAACGAAATTGATTGATTAGATTTAATTTTGGTATTATTACACACTTGGCACATTAAGAGATGGAGGAATCAAAACATACCATTGAAGCGCTTGATTTAATTTCGTGGAAATCTGTGATTATTTGTAATTTGAAAAATTAAAATGAGGAATTAAGATATTTGCTGTTTGGCGAATATTGTGTTAATATGTTCTTATTTATTCACGTTAAAATGTTTGTATGTGGAACTACTCAATCAGATATTATGTAATGACTCATAATGAACTATACATACATAGTTTATTCTGTAAGCACAACAAAGTTCTGTAAGTGTTATTTGTATTCAATATAAATATAGTGGTATGCACATAATAATAAATTATGAACATAAATTTTTTTTGTATTTCATGTATTGACATATTCAACAAGTATTGACATAATATCTACTATTCAGACAAACGTGCACCAACATATACATACATATATACATAGACAAAACTGCCAACATATAATTTTTCTAATTCTTCATATTATTTTTAATGGCATCGCTTAACAACACAAAACTTTTGTAAGCATAAAAATTTTTAATAGTTTTGTCAGCGTTTCATATGAACAGTTTTGGCTTAAAAACATAATTTTTGTTTTGTTTATAAGCACATAGATTCCGCGACTTCAAAAATGCGCTTACTACGCAAACTTCACAAAGTAAAGTTTTATTCCAACAAGTTTAGTAAAAGATCTTGACATTGTGCACCTTCCTTAAATGCGTTCTATACGTAATGGATACTTAAAATTAACGTAAATCGAGTACTCGTATCGAAAAAATCGAGCACACTTTTCTTATACATGTCAAATGTTACCAGAAATAGCCAATTAAATAAACTAGTTTTTTTTTCCAAAAAAAAACTAGTATTGTGTTCCAAAATGTATCAAGAGCTGTAGCAGTTTTTTTTTGTAATGTAAAGGTATTGAAAGCTCTAAAACAGTACTACAATCGAATTAATACCGTACTTAAACTTTTTATAAAGCATTATTGAAGTCATGGATTTTCGCTTTTAAACACGAAATTTTTTGACATTTTATTGATAAAAGAAAAAGTGAGTCATCTGGCCGGAAACACAGGAATAAGTGACTTATGTTTAATATAATATAGGAACACACCCCCAATATGTTCTCCTTGTCATTGCTATAACAAAGTTGACATCCAAATTTAAAATGGACAATATAGAATAACTGCAAAACATAGATAGTTAGACAAAAAATTTTGTCGTAACGGATTTGCATATAAGCGCGTCCGATTGTATAAATCAGTGCTTTTGAATTATAAACGGGTCTCTTTATAACCCGTTTGGTTCAGATAATTCTCAAGATCCTTTAGATCTTGCCTTTTTTCCTAATCATCTCGAAACATTACAATTTTGACGGATGAACGAAAATTAAAGAGAATATTTTTTGTTTTAAATTCTCTATGCTTTATTTTTATCTCTTGTGTTTTCCTTTTATTATTATTTCTTTGTTGAAGAATTTTATCAATTTTGCATTTTTTCCATTAAAAAAAACTTTTGATTTTGCACAAATCTGTATTAGCAACTAATCAACGCAATTAACGTGTGAGACATGGAGATCTGGCAGTGGTTGCCACAATAATAATCAAGATCATTGCATCATCATATTATATTGCAGATATGATTATTTCACATGTAGAGTTTTCGGGGAAAATGTTTTTATTCATTGTAGAAAAGTGTAAATAATCTATTTTTAGAGAGGTATCTGTCTAAGCAGATCTGTATGTGAAGTTTGTCTGAACTTTTCAAAAAAATAATTAGTGTTTTTTCCTGAAATTTTATATAAGGTTCGCTTGGCAATTCAACATGTTATCTAATTTTCTTGGCTGGGCTGTCAGCTGTACTTTTATCATGGGCGGAATTTATATTTTTGATTTAGAAATGCAAAATTTGAGTTCTTGTTATTAAAAAAATTACTAGCAAAGTTTGCAGGGAAATCGGGTCATGAAAAAGGAATTTCTACTAAGTACGAAATATACATTCTAGGAATATTAAGTAAAACTTATTTTCTCCTTTTCATAGAATTTGAAATGAATATTTAAAGGAAGTTTTGAATATTCGGGTACCTGCCATACAACTTCAAAATTTATTTGGCTATATCTCAGAAACTATAAAAGCTGTAATATTGAAATTTCACACAAGCGAATATATTAGTAGGGCTAATGTGTCTCATAAAAGTCTTTGAAATTACTTGGCTCCTTCTGGTACCTGCCATACAACTTCAAAAGTTACTTGGCTATGTCTCAGAAACTATAAAAGCTGTAATATTGAAATTTCACACAAGCGAATATATAAGTAGGGCCTATTTTTATAGGTAATTTCTTTTTTCAAAATACATGTTACGTATTACATTGGAAATAGCATTACAATTTATCTAAATCCGAAAATTTCTAAAATTGTTGACAAATGTTGGAAAAAACTTGTTTACCTTACCCAGCCTTAAATCTTTTGATGCGAGAATAGCATTTCTATGTTTTCGTTTTCGCATTTTAATCTTAAGAAATGTAGAATGGAAATTTTTTAAATAGACTTACGGACTCGTGCATCTTACTAGTAGAAACTGATGTGAACATATTTTTGATAATTGAAAATGCTTTTGAAACTTAATTGAATTAGTTACGGCACCTTTTAAACGTAAAAATTTGATATGTCATTTGTAGCGTATTGTGAATATTTAAAGTTTTTAGTTTGGCTCCTTTAGTTTTTATTAGTTATTCTTTTTTTATATAGAAGTCACCGTGAAATTGATCACTGTAAACTGAAGTTTGCTTCTTTTTTTGTTTTATATTTCAATATTTTTAGGTACATAACTAACATTAATACCTAGACAACAAAAACGAGAAAGAGTAACCATTTGATATAATAAATAATAATCCTTCGTAGCATTCATCCTTAAAGAACGCTTATTTGTTATAATAACAAAAAACAATAAAGAAAATATAAAAAAAGTTTTTTTCTTTGAATATTTTCATGGTAAAATTTTTACTTATAGTTAGTTGGTGGATAATGTGGTTTTCTGAATTATGGTATTTTAAAAATAATAGCAGTTGGAAACTTTTTGACAGGATTCCTTCTATTGAATTATTATAGATCATAAATATACTAAAGATAAGGGATAATGTTGTAAGGTTTAGATTGCATACTGTTGAAAAGATGAATGTAATGTTGATAATACAAATGAGTACTTATATAATATTCGCTGCTATCGGAATAACTTAATCTTGAAAAAGTAAAACCATAAAAAGTTATCTTATAATAATTGAAGTTGTTGGTATATGTATGAATAATTTTTTTTTCGAATTTGTAAAGAAAATTTTAATATTACCGAAATAAAGAATTTTCCTGTTAAGTAATTTATTATTGAAGATGTACAATAACATCAGTATAAATAAAAAAATTTTCCAATAATTTTTATAGTATCTGTATGTATATTTACTGCTTATATGTTCTGTTATTTCCTTAAACACAGAAAGTAAATGTATAAATTAAGATTTTTTAATGCTTATCTGCGTAAAAACATGTAAATCGGTGTCACTATTGTGGGAAGTAAGAAAGCAAGAATCAGAGGAAAATTTGTTTTATAATTGCATACAACATTTAAAAATTCAATTTGAAGTTTACTCAAATTTTGTATCACGAGGAAACTAAATTATATTTTAATCGCACTTAGTGAGTACTTAAATGAGCGTATTGTTATATAATTAGAAATTTTTATGTGGGTTTCTATTATAAATTAAAATTTACTAAAATGGCCTATCAAATTTCTCTATTATTAGAACGATCAATGGGATATCTAAAATTAACCACTCCAAATTTTTAAAATAATTAATTCATATAATGACAATTTTAATAAAAGAGAACAAGATAATTGCTCATTAAATTAGCTAAAGTAAATTCGAATATAAAATTCAAATAATTTTTCATGATTTTCATCCAAAGTATCCTTGAATTTTTTGAAAATTATATTTTTAAAGCATAAAAATTTTACAAAATTAATTAAAATAAATTTTTCTAAGGTTTCTCTACGGTGCCAATTTTCTTTGTGCTGACAAAATGAGAAAAAATATCATGGAATTAAAGAGCAATATAAAAATCTTGTAAAATAATGTAATTAACTTTCATTTGCGCTATAGAAAAATTTAAGCATGAAATTACTGAGCAATACTGATAATATAAGAGATTAATTTATGATCGTACTATATAATTCGTTGAAGGAGTCTTTGTAGCTAAGAAATTTTCTAATTAAATTCTAAAACTAATGAATTAATCTTAAATTCGAGATGGAAAAATTTAAATTGTACACTGATTTTTAAATGTAAGTAGAAATATTTTTCGATTTGAAGTAACTCAGTTTTTGGCTTTTTCTAATACTTTTGTTTTTTGCGAATTTTAGAATTGTATGGATGTGCGGTAAAACGTTGTGGATAGTGTACAAAAAGTGTGTTCAAATATTTTAGAACAAACAAGGATTTTATTTCAGTTTACAAGCAACGATTTTTGTTATAAGTATATGTAGAATTTACAAAAGAACTTGAACTAAAAATTGATTATATATTTTTATTTTATAAAACCCACATATTATTAATCTTATATAATAACACAGCTTAGTTGTATGTGTAATATTTTCAACCAAAGAAAGCTGTACTTTTACAGAAACGCGCATTGTCTCGCAAAACCTTCTTAAAATCATGAAATGTCCGATACACAAATGTCATATTTCATTCATCACCCCTCATTTTAAACGGGTAAGACCATAGTACAATTTTTATGTGCCTATTTCCTTGCAAAAAATGATTTTTTTTTAATTTTTTACTTTTAATTTTATTAACAAAATAAATAACGTGCAACAAACCTTTTTTCATATATAAAATTCAGTTTAACACTAGGAAAGGAGCCAAAGGAATAATAAAATTTTATTTTCTTATGCGATTCCTTTTATATCCCTATTGAATTCCATAAGATAATTTTAATATGAAAAGACGGTATATACGAATTGCTTTTTTTCTCCTTTGACAATAAAATTGCTTTATGACTTTTAACTCCTTTTTGGAACCCTTAATAAATACAAAAAGAAAACCCGTATTCAAATTATTATATGAGTGTTATGCTTTGTTTTTTAAACCTCTATGCAAGTTGAAAAACAGAAAAAAAAAACAATTTTCTGTTCCTTATTTACGTTTCAAAGATAAAAGGAAAAATAAGGCATTTTTTGCGTGTTTGATTTAATATTCAAATTTTATTTACCTTTAAAACTACCTGATTTCATACGTTTTTTATTTTTCATATTTGTCTGTTTTTTTTTTGCCGCGATAATATTTTTCAAAGAAAGTACAACATCGAATTTAAATCAAATTGTATAGTACAGGGATGGCGAACCTAAGCCACACGTGCCCAAGGTGGCACTCGTCTCTACTTTCCTTGGCACGCGCTAATAAATACAGTGGAAAATTTTTTATATTTCCGATATTATATTTGCTTAAAATATAAAAATTATATTTGCTAAAAATTGTTTCCAAAAATTTTTTAAGTGAAGCCTGTATTTGCTTTAAAAACAAATAATATTATCATCCTGATATTGATGACTTAGCGCAGCAATTCAACAACAAAAATCTCTTTAATTCTATATTTATAATGTAGTGAGATTAGTCAGTTATAAATAAATCGACATATTTGTGTAAATGACAAATGTATTTTGATTATTTTAGGGCACGCGAGTATTTTCATTTTTCTAAAATAATTATTTTTGGCACGCAGTCCGATAAAGGTTTGCCATCCCTGGTATAGTACATTACCGTATATAAATAGAAACTTTTATATACGTATTATAAAAATCCAGCAGAAAATGTTTTAAATACACAAGGTGTTTCACATAAGGTGCCAAATAATTCCAGGAATAAATCTTTGATCAATTTGCAGCAAAAAATTGTATGGGATGGGGAAAGGATGGAGGGGAGGGTTGTGCAGATATACTCGTTTCCGAGAAATATGCGTTTTTCGCATGTTTTTTGAACACATTTAACAAGTTTTACTGCCAAAACTATGGGAGATAAAGGAAAATGTTATGTAGTTTAACTTTTAGATCATATCGTAGCGCATCGAAAAAAACAAAAAGTAAAAATGTAAAAAAAATAAAAAAAAACATGAAAATTTTGACTTTGACAAGCTATATTTCGAAAATTATGGCTCAAATCAAATTAATTGTAAAACCAAAAATAAAGAACAATCAATCGCCTGTAAAACAAACGCAGCGATAACTCTATATTGTATGGTTCCGAAGTTATAAGCATTTATTTATATACAGGAAAAATCCGGTACTTTTTTCTTCAACAGGCTGTAGTTCGAAAACGAGTATATCTGCATCAATCCAAAACACACAATTTTTTGCTAGAAATTGATCAAAGAATCATTCCCGAAAATATTTGCCACCTTATGCGAAACCCCTTGTATAGCAAGAATCTAAGCATGATCTTATAAATCTGTCCTGTTTTGTTTTTACGGGGAAAACGTGAAAAATATCAGGTACGATTGAAAAACTTTTTATTCTTTTTTTTTTACATTTTGTCTATTTTATCTTTGATTTGGTTTTTCTGGTAAACAAAGATGAAGTGGTTTTTGGTTTTAGAGAAGATTTAGGAAATTTAATTTACAATTTAAATATATGGTCGCAATGCGTTAAAAATATTTATTAAATTTTCGATTAAAAGTATAGACTAAAGTGTAAGTATTTTAAATCAATTTTCTAAGCAATCGGAAGATCACAGAGAATCAAAAATTAAATTTGGGTATAACTAGAGTTAAATAATAAGTTTTTATTATTAAAAATTAAATTTAAGCAACCTGCTCTAGAATACAATTCGTTTTGGTCGTTTCTGTACAAAATGAAATTTGGAAATATTGCAGAAAAATAATTTAAATTTTTATTTGCATTCTCATATAAAAAATCTTCCACAATTTTTGTTTTAAATCCTCAATAATGCATTATTGTTGTATAGAAATCGTAGATAGAAAAAATATGGAAAAACTATTCGATTTATTTTTCCTGAGTATTTACTATATCGTGTTAAAGCTCAAGCTACACTATTTCCCATCGAAATCACCCATCGAAAATTATTATTCAAACAAAAATTTGGTGTTAAAAATTTATATCTCATGAGTAATTTTAACCGCAAATTGCATTCTAGGACTTATAAAGTAAAAGGAGAAATAAATTTATAGTGAGGATCTATTCACATATATACAAAATTTCAGCTTCTTATCTTAAAGTGAGTAAAATTTTTCAAACAGATACATGGATGAACGGATAGGTAGACTGAATATATTAATAAACTTTTTTTTTAAAATGTGTTAAAAAAAATATTTACATGTGTACTATAATTGTGTAAATTACATTAATTTTCTGAAGACAAACTCTTCATTAAATTAAGTAGGCCAACTCTTTTAAAAAATCAAAGAATATCATCTGTACTTCGTAAAAGTAAAAGTTTCTAA